CAAGGTGGGTAAAATGAGGACCCAGATTGTTGGGGGCAAGAGGCTGGCTCTGTAAACCGCTTAGGAAGGGCTGTAAATCACTGAAAAGCAGTATATGAGTCTAAGTGCTATTGCTATGGTTAACGTGAATCTGGCTTCCGCATTAACTTCGCTTGTTGGAAGATCACAAAAGGGGATCACATGGCTCCTGGATTTTGATCACATGACCATGGGAATGCTGCAATGGTCGTAAGTGTGCACTGAAAATGGTTTTCAGCGCCGTTGTAACTTCGAGGTGTCACTAAATGAACTGTTGTAAGTTGAGGACCACCCGCATAGGAACTGTTCAAAAACCAGGTGGGTTTCCACAGGTATAAACCTTTCAGTTAGTTTTCTAGAAATTAAGAAACCTTATCATGCAATAACCGCTTTACTTAAAAAAAGTAATAAACCGTACTGTGAAGATGAGATTCGATACGTACCGATGTCCCGTGATATTCATACTGTTCGTAGTCAAAAAGAATTTCTTGCCTAATTTTTTTTTTAAAAAAAGGGGGGTGGGGGATGGGAAAAATCAGTAAGATTTTTTTCTGCAATGGTCATAAATAGAAATATCCAGTAAGCAGATAGCTTGGGTCACATACCTGCGTGCTTCCCACTCTCTTCTTTCACGTCTTTTCATTGTTCTTTCCACCACTTCCTAGGAGAGATTATGATAAACAATGATCAATGTAGGGAAAACACCCTAAAAATAAATATATTCAATGTTGGCAACAATTTTAACGTTTGACAATGAAACAATTTTAACTTAAAAAAAAAACCACACATTCCTTAAAAGATAAGGATTACAACTTGAGTTAGTTTCAAATGATACAAGATATCCATGAACCAAAACAAAGGAGAAAATATCTTTAAAAATCACTTTTACTCCCTGAAAGAGACTCGTACACTTTGTTGCGTCTTCTTTTTCTTAGTACAGTCACTGTTAAATCACCTTAATCTATTTATAAATATGACTTTCCTTTAAAATGCCATTTTATTTTAACTTGCTCAAATCTGACCTCTTCAAATCGTCTACGTTTTCCTGCTGGTTCTGATCCATCGCTTTCATTTCCAGAATCCTCCTCTTCTTCCTCCCTGAAAATATCATCATAGGCAGGAATCTCGAGGTCATCATCTTGCTTGACCAGAAGTTTGATCTAGTAAAATTTAAATAAAACCACTGTAAAACCCAGTAATGATCTTGGTGAAAGACAAGAATTTATCTTTCTTTCTTTTTTTTTGTCAAAAAGGAGAACTTACTTGCGTCTCATTGTAAACGTTCACAGCATTGATAGGTCTATGAGTATCGCAAACAAAGAACAGAGTATCGTCTTCGGGTTGAAGGATTTCCAGCAGGTCAATGTTGGCCCCACAGTTCAGGAGCACAAAATACTTGAACTGTAAATAAAAGCAAATAGGTAGTGGAAAAAAATCTGCGTGAAAGGATGTGCAATTTATATTGAGAATAGTTAAATTCTTGGGACAAGATACCAACAATTATATTTCAAGAAAAATTTTTAAATTGCCATGATAAAAAATTAGAATTTTAAAAAGATCTTATTCAAGTTCCATTCCCCATAATAGGATTTTCTAAACAAAATGTACAACAGATGCGAGAGAATTGTATTTTAATTTCCCTTGTTTTTTATACAGTATATCTAAATCCCATTTATTATTTTTTCTTTACCTGATCCTTATGTTCTAGAAATGCTGTTTCCAGTTCTTGCCATCCAGATACTGGGACTAATGTATATTGCACATGATCACACTGGAATAAAGCCTGGAGAAAAATGAAGGCTAAATTTAAGAGCAAGGCTAATATTGTAGCTTCACTTTAGCTGAGTATAGCAACAGCAGCTTCCAAGCAAGTTTTTTGTACATTTATCAATTATATTTAAAAACAAATAAGCTAGAATCGTAGAGCTTTGTTAATCGCTCATGTTGTTTAACACTTTGCTAATTTTGTATTTTTACTATATTTAACAAATGATTTACAGGCTGGAAGTTGGCATTTTATCGTGGAAATCATAATAATCATCAAAATCATGCAAGGATGATTTTCTTTTCTCATTCTTTAAAGTTGTCCCACCAAGATAATTTTACTGATTTATATTTATAAAATTTACCATCCTACTCATATCCAACCACTTTAGGTTACACATTTGCATACTAATTCATTTATCATTACAAAAGCATCCTCGAACACTTTCTATAGGAAAGATCTGGGATGTATTTGGAGGTAATTGTAACTGAAAATCATGTATTTTTTAGAAAACAAGGCAAACTTCCTCAATTATCTCACCCCAAGCCATTGTCCATAATTGCTTTGCAAGAAAGATAGTAATAGTATATTCATTTATTTGGAAATATTCATTGCTCACTTCTTTTCCCTTATTGCACAATATTTTGTCACTTGTACACTCAAAAAACTTGAAGGGCAGACTTACTTGGAGGATTTTACAAGCACATAATGCATCTATGTCCGAAGCCACCAGAAGCAGCACCCGCTGTAAGAAAATATAGATGTTAGTCAGCAACGACAGGGAGTCCTCAATCTACAACCACAACTGAGTCCATTATGTTGTTAAGGGGGAAATTTGTTAAGTGAGTTTTGCCTCATTTTACAACTTTTTTTTGCCACATTTTTTGAGTGAACCCCTGCAGTAGTTAAATTAGTTAACACGGTTAAGTGAATCTGGCTTCCTCGTTGACTTTGCTTGTCAGGAGGTTGCAAAAGGGGATCATGTGATCCCAGGACACTGCAACCGTCATAAATGTGAGTCAGTTGTCAAGCATTTGAATGTCAATCACGTGACCAATTGGGATGCTGGCAAGGTTCATAAGTCATGTTTTTTTCAGTGCCGTTGTAACTTCAGATGGTCACTAAGTGGATTGTTGTAAGACGAGGATTACCTGCACCAGGTTGGTTTATCTGCTTTTCCTAGTTAGGGGCAGCAGATCCCTTAATCCCTCTTCAATCTAGTCAATTTCATCTTCTGCTCCATAGTTTCAAGGGCTTTGCTTATATGTCCACAAAGCCAGTTCTGAAAAGTTTTCTCCCATTTCGGAGCTTTGGCTCATTGGTTCTCACTGGCCACTCTCTAAGCCCAAGGCACTACAATGCCCATCCTCCCCAGCCACCAGTCCCTAAAACACACATACACACACACACACAC